GAAATACCATGGCCGTGACAAGGGTCTAAACTGTAGTAACATTTCAAATATCATGGCCGTGGTTAGGCTTTAAACAGTGAAAATGATCTAATTTATATTGTATTATAGTTTGAGTTTACCATGTTAATGATTCAAATGGCCAAGACAGGAGTCTATAAATACCATGCCTATAACAGAGGTTTACCATGTGTCAACAATTCAAATATCATGGCCATGACAGATGTGGCACCGGATCAATGATTTAAATCACATGGTCATGATTGGGGTTCACAATTGCTAAAGTTTCAAATACCATTGACATGGCTGTGTTTTGCACTGTGCCAACAACTGAAATACCTCGGCAATGAAATTGCGCTTAAACTCGAACACCATTATCATGACAGGAGTTCTACACCATACAAACAATTTGAATAGACTGATAATGGTAGCGATTCTACATTTATAAGCGATTTTGCGTTCAACTGCGAGATCTCGCGAGTTGCCTAAAAGACTTGCGCCGAACGTCTTTCCCAAAAATCGAACGATTTGATTTTGAATTCGATGTTTTTTTATTTTGTAGCTCACATCGAAGAGCCGATCTTTGACAGTGGAATATTGCATTTAGATATCCTTAAATTGACCATCATCGAATGTGTATAGCACATTATTAAGCATGGAAATATCTACAAAAATACTTTCGCTTTTGTCAAATCACACGCAATGTTCATTTGTCGCGACTACGGCGCTGTGACCTTTGTTTGTACTGTTTCTACGTTCGAAATCACGCGTGATCTCACAGTGAACGAAAAATGATCTATTTATAAACATGTTTTGAATTGCATTTAGAGTGTTTAAACTAATTGCATAGCATTTTTTAAATATATTTTGTTTTTGTGAGTCTTTTATTTGTCAAGTGTACGTATTCGACATTGTGATATCTGTGATTGTATGCAACCCAAATATACTCAATGTAATTTACTTGGTTTTCAGTGCAGATGACGTGGAAGAAGCTTTGGATATAAAAGATGAATTGGTGAGTTGAGCCATGAAAATGAATAGTAAATGAGAATATGCACACGACTACGCATACTTTTAACTGTTTTGAACAAATGATTTTTTCTTGTGTTGGAAAACATTTGACTTCATCAGTATGAATGTTGATATAGGAAATGGCACGCTGATGAGGTTATACGTGTTCTTTTCACAAAAAAACCTGTGTTCAGGGTAAAATGTCGCCAATAAATATGAGTGTCAGTTGAAATTTGATTTTATTGTACGTTTGTTCTCATTTTCTATGATATTGTTCACGCTACGATCTACCGGGGACTGGCCTGTAACCAGCCACCATTTATTATTAAGACATTGATAACTGGTATTGTTAAATACATTAAATATTATGAAGTTATTACGAGGATACCTCAAAGTATGCACGAAGACAGTACAGCTGGACTATCGACCGACGCACAGCGGAGGTCGATGCGCTGCGTACTGTCTGAGTGCATACTTCGAGGTGATCTCTTAATAACCTTATTATTATACATCTTTTCCTTCCAATGATACACCATGGAGATGCCGTAATCCAAAATGTTTAGAACAGAATCAACGAACTTCTTCTCCGGTCAAACTCTGGCAGCAGCCATGTTTGTTTTTATTATTAGAGGACACTTACGCGCGTAATCATTCCATATTTGAAATTCGCATTTCCTAATATGGTAGGATGAAAATACCCCATAAAACACCGCAAAATTACGGCACGCCGTAACTTATGGCGTTACGGTGACAGATATATAATATTATTTTTTATTTGATTGCTGTATTTACCGGCCTTGTTTTGGATTTTCAAATAAAATGATGTTCTTAATGTACAATTATCCTAAGGGCAGTATACGTTATACATCCGATGCGGCTCGAAATCCATCATGTACAAGGTACCAAAATAGGCTGTTATTGCTTTATTTGAGCATATTAAAGCAGAGGAGGCGTCACCTACTTATGCGTCAGGTGGCTATAGCGTGTCATTGTTTACAAACAAGCGTCTAACCATGAGCATTTGCGTTCTAAGCGTGTGTTGTTATCGTCGCTTAGGACTCAATTCCCGCGCGTGCGCAGGTGATGACCCTCCTGCTTTAAATACGACCTAAATTCTTGCGAAGAGGTTCTAAAATACAAAGCCACCATAACATACTTTCAGCCCTTGTGTGATCTCTAGTTACCACATGACCAATGAACTTCAATATATTCAGAAGTGACTTACAAAATGCAAATTACGACAGATTATTATATTGACCTATTTTCACACAGATGAATGAGAAACGTTTAAATAAGTTATGTTGTAGGCGCTCCCCTTATTTCGTTCTCAGAATGATAATATCGGCAATTCCGTAGTTTTCACGAACTTTAATATGATGTCTATACCATCCAGGTAAACTACAGTACAAAAGTACATATAAAACTTGAGCAATGTCGTGGTGAACATGCACATTTTGAATCATCAAATACAATACATAGAATCAAACACAATTGTAATTTCGGCACCAACAAATATTAATCATGTCAATCGCTACTAGAAAAAAAATATTTAAATTAACTACTCAACTAGATTTCAGGGCAAACTGACGGAGCCCAGTCCTTAAATGGCTGCCTTGTTTACGTTGACGGCATTTCTATTCCAGTTCATGACTTCAATTGTAATAGAGGGCGCTGTAACGAAATTCCTTGATTTACCGTTTAGATAGACAGTTTGCCAACACAAAATACACACTATTCCCGGAATTCATTACAAAGTGTCAACCATGTGTAACATTAAGCAATCGTTTCTAAAGGTATTAGTCTCATATATACACGCCATGTATTGTTCCAATCCACCAATCAGTGACCTCAATCATATCATGTGTCGCATATAAGCTCACAAATACCATCCATTATGCCAACAACTAACAACAGATACTATTATTTATTTCATGAAGCAACGATTGTGTTGCAGAAATACCTCATCACAGCAAGTAGGCAGTGGAGGTGGTACAGGAGGTGCTACTGGTACAACTGGTGCTAGTGCTGGAACAGGGACTGCAGTGACTGCGGGAACAACTGCTACAATTATTGGGGTTGCTGTGGGTGCAGTTGCTATTATTTCAGCTGTTATTATTGCTTCAGTTGTACTGCTTACAGTGTCAAGTGGAAAAAATTTAAGTAAATATGAATTATTACTATGCTAAATGTTACAAAATAGTGCATTCACTTTCATAATGGCATCATCGCTTAAGTTGTTTATCAATTGTTTGTCCTTGCGTGTATGAGATTATCTGCTACAAGTCCAAGGCTTGGGGAAATATAACAAATTCAACAAACTTATTCTAATCGATCTTTTGGACACTCTAGTAAAACATTCTTGTAAATCACATCATTTACTGGCCGGGCACGCCAACTACTGGCAGGGCACGCCATCTACTGGCAGGGCACGCCATCTACTGATCGGACACGTCATCTACTGACCGGACACGCCACCTAGTGGCCGGGCATTGCATCTACTGGCAGGGCACCCCATTTACTGAATTTGACAAAAACGTGTTTTAGTTATTTTTATATAAATACCTTACTATGCAAAGGAAAACAATTTGTGGTTGGTCATCATATCATTTTCCCTCTGTCCAAAAAATATAAGCACTACTTTTACTGAAATGATTGAGAGTTACTTCTGGGAAGATGGTCAATCTTGCTTGGTATGAGTTGATGCACAAAGCAACACAGAAAATGCAGATTATTCACTTGTCGGCAACAGTAGTCAAGAGTTGACAGTCAAACAATGCAAAAATGCACTTAGTAGTCAGGATTATTAAAGCAACACAGGAAAGTGTGGATGACAATACATAGGTGATTTATTTGAGTCAGTGGATAATCTGCTCACTATTCGAACAGATTAAGGTCAGGTAACCCACATAGGATTAGATTATAATGGCCAGACGATCTTAGCATGCAAAGACCATCAAGACTTTACTGTCAAGATGAACTACATTCTGGAACATAGCAAACTGAACAATACTTATATGATATGATATTTGCTGATCAGCCAAATGCACATATCACAACAGCAACCAATGTGCACTACATACCTTTCTTGCTTAGATTGTAATTGAAGAATTGCCTCACTTTGTATACAAGGTTACATTCAGATCAATACCATGTCTCTTTGCTCACTAAAACAATATATTGTATTTCCTTCATGTTTATTAATTGTGCGCATTTATTGACACTGGGACTCGCAAACAAAACAGCTTTTCTAATATTCAGCAATTACTCCAAAGAATATCTACAGTAGTATATGAATCTAATCACAATAAGTCCACGGACATTCACCTACGTCACTCACTATGCATCATTGTACGTATGAAAAACCTGACGCCTTTGATGATTTTATTAATTGCAGATGCGACCAGTCTAAATGAGACAACACAAACACAAACATCAATAACTACATCGACAGTACCACTGACTACTTCTTTACCCAGTACATCACTTTCTCATACAACACAACCACAAACAACAATAGTTAAATCGACAGTACCATCAATCACATCATTAACTCGTACATCACTTTCTCATACAACACAACCACAAACAACATTAGTTAAATCGACAGTACCACCAATCACATCATTAACTAGTACATTACTTTCTCATACAACACAACCACAAACAACATTAGTTAAATCGACAGTACCACCAACCACATCATCATTACCCAGTACATCACTTTCTCATACAACACAACCACAAACAACATTAGTTAAATCGACAGTGCCACCAATCACATCATTAACTAGTAAATCACTTTCTCATAAAACACAACCACAAACAACATTAGTTAAATCGACAGTACCACCAATCACATCATTAACTAGTACATCATTTTCTCATACAACACATCCACAAACAACACTAGTTAAATCGACAGTACCACCAACTACATCATCACCTAGTACATCACTTTCTCAAACAACACAACCACAAACAACAATGGTTAAATCGACAGTACCACCAATCACATCGTCAACTAGTACATCATTTTCTCATACAACACATCCACAAACAACACTAGTTAAATCGACAGTACCACCAACTACATCATCACCCAGTACATCATTTTCTCATACAACACAACCACAAACAACAATGGTTAAATCGACAGTACCACCAATCACATCATTAACTAGTACATCACTTTCTCATACAACACTACCACACACAACATTAGTTAAATCGACAGTACCACCAACTACATCATCACCCAGTACATCACTTTCTCAAACAACAATGGAATCAACCAGTGTGATTACAACATCCGAAACAGTTCAAATGTCAACCAAGATACTGACGACCGAGGAAACAGGTATGAATGTTTTCTCAACAGCACAAACTTAATTGTACTAAGTTCATTAAAAGTATTGATACATCAGTACAATAATTATGCCAAAGTAAATCAATTAATAAATCAATCTTATAAGACAATTACATTCAAACCTTTCATTCGTTCAATGTTGAATAATTTGATTCATGTTTTGTTTTTTTGTAAAATTTTGAAAAATCAATGAAACATGTGATATTGTATTTGTCTGTGGCTTGACTTTTCTAATCACATACATTTTTACGATATTGGAATTAGCTCATTGCCACCCACAGTTCTAACAATCAATAAGCTGATAAGAAAAAGCCTTTCCTGTAACATCTAGTTCAAGCAGTATATTTCGAGTTGAATTGCATAACTCCATAGTAGTTTATTTATCAGTATGTATGCTATTCTATTTCAATTGTTAAGCTCCTGTCATTGGATGTAGTACTACTGCAGATTCAATCTGTTCCCAACAGAGTGGACCATGTAGGTAAGTACAGCTTCTCTTCATTTATATTATGATCCATTGCACTGATTCATTGTAATGAACATATATGTTTCATTTGCAATGTTGATCATTGCACCTGTTTATTATGTTCGAATCTGTTGTTTCATATTTAAAAGTTCGTATCCCTTAGATATCAATTCAATTCATTTTGGACTATGGATCTTATATGTATTTTCTTTATTTGCAATATGGGTTATTGCATTGGTTCATTGTGTAATCGCAATTCATAGATAAACAACGTTTTGGTGAATCTCATTGTCCCTGAGTAAATCTACAAGTGATTCAGTTGTATTTATTCAGATGACAAACTACCACAGCTGTACTCATAAATGATGTTAAACGACTTTGCAAAACGGGAAAAATGTTTGTGTTGGTTCATCAACAAAAAACATAAATAGTTTCTGTCTTCAATATTAAGAAATAACATTTTAAAAAATTATTGAACATGTGACAAGATTAAATACACTGTGTTTTAGTGTAGTAAACATCGCATTTGTTGGTACCATCGTGTAAATGAGCGAGTCTTTATATAAATGACTAACAAAAGACAGTGGCGTTAGAAATTCCATCCTATCGACAGCCTTGATCAGATAAAACGCTGCAGTTGAATGACAATTACAGAGTTATAGAGATTTTGGAACTTTTGTTATTGACAAATACAGTTGACTACAAAGTTCAGAGAAGTATGAACATGTGGCAGTATTCCATAAATGTTTGACAAGGTGCTAATTTTGTGATTAAACTGTCATCTTACGTATGGATATATTGGCATCTCGAAAGCTTAGTTGATGATTAGACTGCCGTTGTATCATGCTGATTGCATTTTCTGTCAAAACGTAATTATTGCGATAGCGAAAATTGTCGTATTCATCTATGATCAGTGGTTTAGGAGGTTTCAAATGCGCACGATATATTGTCGATGCCCTACTAAATCGTTCAAAGCTCTACATGAAGAGCACCGCCAACGGTCCATGTTTTCCCACGTTTGCACAATGAAACTGCAAACATTTGCCGTTGCTATAAGTTGAGCGTATACCTGATAACTCATGGCGGATTCTTGTCGGATGTCTTTTTTCGTTTTTACAACAGCCAATTACAAAACTTAACGTCAACATGACGTTCAGCAAAAACCTGCAAATATTTCAGTGCAAAATGTTTAAACAAATGTAAGAAAACAGGTGCGCACCACTGGCAATTGCTTACACTATACACTGTTTCGAAACACGTTTCGACATTTCTGGTTTCACTGGATTTATCCTTTTGCACGAGGCTTTATGCTGAACGTTTTAACTGTAGTAGAACGGGAATGTGTGATTCAATTGCGCGGAAAAGTAAACATCAACTAACATTGAACGTTCTTATCAAATGTATCACGAAAGGGTTATGCGCATTTGCACAGTAGTTTTGTCCACAGTAAGTTTCTCGAGTGATGATTATTAAGAGAATTGTGGCACATAACAACAATAATCAGTTTCAAACTAATTAGTTATAACATGGTTCGAAATAGAGACACTTGGTTTAAGTAACAATTAATACCAGCTGGTAATAAGTATTTCGACTGGCCGTTTAAGATTTTTAAATGGTACACAATATATTTGAGTGTGTGCATTGTCATTGGTGCATTGAGTTCCTTGGAAATTATTGCTCGTTCACGATAAATGATTTCTCTTCAAAACACAGATTTACATGTCCAGCTGGATGTACTGCGGACTCATGTGATGTTTGGGGAACAACAATGTACACTGCTGTGAGTATATATTTACATTCGAGTTGTACATTTCATTAATTAATTGGCGAAGAATAGGAGCTGCACTATTGCAACAACACAAGTCTAATTGCATGACCGATTCACGTATGATAACCGAACATATGTAAACATATACAATGTAAATTGATCATATTCTTGGGTGTCACGGGGCGCCTCGATCCTGCCAAGTTTAGTTCGATTGCTAGGTGACGTCACAACTGGGACGACTTAAGTTTTTACGGTCCTTTGCTGGCAGTGCCGGGGAGGTTTAGGGAAAAGATAGCGAATGACAATATCAATAGTATAAGTGTTTTCTCAAACATAAACATGGGATTTCTGAGACGTTCTTTTGTATTTGTTCATCTC